CCCGCTGGCCCAGGCGGGGTTAGAGGTCACTCTCGCCGTACAGCGCCGTGGAGAAGGACATGTAGTCCAGGGCACCCGGCACGGCGTCGGGGCCAGCGTAGGGGGCCATCCGCGCGATGCAGTACTCGGCCTGGTCCGGCGGCAGCTCGCGGCGCAGCTCGTCCACCGTGATGTAGTTCTGCAGGAGAGCAGAGTCAGCGCAGGCGCAGAGCGAGGCGGCCGCAGAGCGGCGTGGCCAAGGCTAACCTCTCCCTCTGCACATTTAGGGCCTGCCGTACATCTGTGGTTTGGTGGTGATGGTTCCCTTATATACATACACATCTTTTTAACCCACGTTAACACCTACTTTCATTCTCTTTCCAGGCTAATTCGATGAGCTACGCACCCCAACTTCTCCCCCACTCACACTGGTCTCCAGTATGAGTGTCTATCCCCCCGCTGTAGCTGGCCCTGGGATATCGTCTGGGGCTTCCCTGATGCAGAACTGACTCAACCACGTGGGTTTGGTTTGGGGATCACTCAGTTCTGAGATATGGTTGTCATGGGAACTCCTGTGAATTTGGAAAGGAAACCTAGGCTCCCGAAATCCCAGAATCCAGTCTCCTGGAGGGGGGGGGGGGCTCCTTGAGCGTTTTTGAGACTATAAGAGAGATCTGTAGCTTATACCCAAACCAAAGCACCCGGCTAGAGAGGGTGGTGTTTCAGAGTAACGGGCAGGCCCGCCATTGGCCAGATCAGCCAGCCAAGTCCTGCCTAGGCCCCTGGCTTCCATGCAGCCCGTTTGCAGCAGGCCCCTCACTTTCCCACTGTCAGGGGAGATAGAGCAGGGTATGCAGGGAGACTTCGGATCCCAGAGCTGACGGCTGTTCAGGGCAGACAAATGAGGCAGGCATGCCTCCCAGAGTCCCCCTCCTGCTCCCTGCCTAGAGTCCAAGCCTGTGTTCTAGGACGAGGTAAGAGACAAGGGGTTCTCGCTCCAACCCCTGACCACAGCCTCTGCCCCCCTGTTTTCCTGCACTACCCTCATTTCATCTTGAGCTATTTAAACAAGCCCCTCCTTCATACACAGTGCCCCTAGCAAGGGTCACCCTTGAACTAAGTAACACTGTGTTGTGACAGCCTCTCTGTACCTCTAGTGCCACAGAAATGGGCAGAGACGGGCAGAATGAGGCCCCTTGGGCCCCACGCCGGCAGGGCAGACCCACCTTGTCCCCGGCCAGGATCTTGAAGGACGCCATGACCTGGTCTGCGGTGTCTGTGTCCGCCGTCTCCCGGGACATGAAGTCGATGAAGGCCTGGAATGTCACCACGCCCAGGCGGTTGGGGTCCACGATGCTCATGATGCGCGCAAACTCCGCCTCTCCCTGTGGAGGGAAGAGCCGGCCCTGCCATCAGCCACGGCTGCAGCTCCTGGGGCTGGGCAGTAAGGGGAGGCCACAGTGGGCCCCCACCTACCCTGGGCAGTCCTGAGGGCCTAAGTATGCACAACGCCCTGCTCAGGGCATCCCCCCACTACCCTGGCCTGGGGCTCACAGGAGCCAGCAATACTGCCACCGCCAACAACAATGTATTGCAACTCTGAAATCCTCGGGACCATGTGGGGGGGGGTGTCTCTTAGAATTTCCATTGTATCCCGGAGTAAACGGAGGCCCACACAGGGGTCACTTGCTCAGGGTCACACAGCTAGGTAGCAGGTGAGGTGGGTCGTGCACTGGGCTGGCCCCATCTCCCAGCACCCGGTGCTAGCCATGTGGCTCAGCATTCATTCACCCCCAAGTCCCCCTCCTTGATTTGGCCCATCACCCCCTTTTCAGAAAATAAACTACTCAGTGTCCTGTTAGCAATGACAGACGTTCATCCTGCTGCCCATAGCCTAGGATCAGGTGTAGGTGTCCGCCTTTGCAGCCCCGCTGGGTCGTTCCAGCGGGGACCCGGATTTACCCTTACATTAGTCCCACAGGGAGGGCACCTCTCCCCTGACCCGGTGCCACAGCTGGGGAAAGCAAGGCTGGTTTGACCCTGGGTTCATTTTCTAGCGCCCACGGGCCAAGGGCCTGAGCTGGGCAACCAGTAGGTTATGACTTGCCTCCTGGCCTGGGAGACAGCCTACTGCCCACCTAAGCCCCTGCCCTGCTGCTCAGAGACCATGGCCTGCACAAGGGGCAGGCAGACCCAGGAGGTCAGACGGTGTCTGGGGTGACCCCATAGCGGGGCGGCAGATGAGGCTGGAGCCATGTCAGGGTGGCGGAGGCAGACGCAGACACGGACGCAGACACATCTCTCATCTCTCGTGAGATGCAACATAATCCCATACCTAGAATGGCCAGTTGCCTCGAGCCCGCCAGGCTCCACAGTCAGTACCCTGTGCCAGCGCGGAGTTGGCGTGGGAAGTCAGGCCTGCCACTCAGGAACCCCTTCCCCGGGAATGCGGCATTGGAGGCGCCCTCGGGTGGGCAGTCCCTCCTGAAGCACTCAGAGCCCGCTGGACTTGAGCTCTCTGGCCAGCTGGCAGCCCCTCCCCAGGGGGCGTGGCCAGCAGACAGAGGCGGGGTTTACATTACCATATTGTAACCCATGGAGATAAGGCAGGCGCGGAAATCATCCGTGTCCATCATGCCTGTCTTCTTCTGTGCACGCAGGCGCACGACACACAAAGAGGCAGAGAGAGGCGGGAAGAGGATGGGCCGGTCCAGGGCCAGGAAGACAGGGCAGGGAGAGGCACAGAGGGGGCCGTAGATGCGGCGGAGAGAGTCCACAGGACGGAGGAAGGCAGCAGGGAGAGAAGCGAATCAGAGCAGCGAGCAGAGTGAAGAGAGACGCGGGCTCCAAGGTTCCGGCAGAGATGCCCGGGGCGGGGCGGGGCAGCAGGAGAGGACAGCGACCCGCAGCCCACAGGGAAGGGGGAACAGGGGGATCCACACAGAGAGAGAAGAGAAAAAGGAGAAACACGAGTTACTTCTCGCCCCGGCTGCCTCCCCTGAACGTACTCCATGCAGGAGTCGCGTACCTGGGGGTCGTTGCCAATATCATAACCCAAGCTGATGAGGCAGGCTTTGAACTCCTCGGGGCCCAGCGTGCCGGAGTGATCCTGGGGCGGCGGTGCGCCAGGCAGCGAGCCATGCGGTG